GCGCACACAGTCTGGGGAGAGAAGAGAGCAGGATCAGGCCCTTCGGAGCCGCAGCCGGTGTCACCGCCCCGGGGACGAGGGGGGCGGCCGGGACGGGGGGCTGCGAGGTGCCAGCGGGGATGGGACTGGGATGGGATGGAGATAGGGACTGGGACGGGATGGGGACCAGGACTAGCACGGGAATAGGACGGGACAGGGACAGGGCTGGGATGGGGACCAGGACTGGGACGGGAATCGGATGGGACTGGGACAGGGACTGGGATGGAGACCGGGACCGGGAATAGGATGGGATGAGGACAGGGCTGGGATAGGGACCAGTACTGGGATGGGACTGGGATGGGGATGAGGACTGGGACGGGCACTTGGGCTGTGCCAGGGGGGCTTGGGGGTCTTGGGGGGTGGAGGCACCTCGCAGGGGGATCCCGGCCACCTGGCAGGGCCCAGCCCGGGGGGGCGCGGGGGATCCCGGGGGATCCGGGGGGATCAGGCGCCCCAGTGCTGTGGGGCTGCAGGGGGGACCCCAGTCCCATGGGGGGATCCCCAAACCTGGGGGGATTCCCAGTACCATCCAGGGGTCCCTGACCCCTTGGGGGGTCCCCAATGCTGTGGGGCTGCAGGAGGGACCCCCAACCCCCTGGGGGGTCTCCAATACCACTGGGGGGTCCCCAACCCCACAAAGGACCTGCAGCCCCATGGGGGTCTGCCCACAAAGGACAGGGCTGCAGGGGGGGATCCCCGATCCCTCGGGGGGATCCCCAGCCCCTCGGTGGGGTCCCGGCGCCATGCCCCAAGCGGCAGCGGGGGGGTCACGAAGGCTCCAGACCCGGGGGGCGGGGGAGGAAGCTGGGGGGATGCGGGTGCCCGAGTCGGCTCCGGTGCCGGGGGTCCCAAGGTGCCTGGGTTTGGGGGGTCCAGAAGCACCGTGGGGGTAGGGTGCCGTTTGGGGGACCTGGCCCAGTTTGGGGTCTCGGACGTGATTTTGGAGATCTGGGCACCGTTTGGGGGCCACAGGCGCTGGCTCGAGCATCGCTTCAGGGACCGTTTCAGGGGCTCGAGCACCGATTCGGGCATTGCTTTGGGGACAGTTTTGGGGTCCCAGGCTCCAACTTGAGCATCCCTCCAAGGACTGTTTCAGGATCACAGAACTGACTCAGGCACCGTTCTGGGGACCTGGGCACCGTTTTGGGGTCCCAGGCACTGACTGGAGCATCGCTTTGGGGATCGTTTTGGGGACCTGGGCACCGTTTTAGGGTCCCGGGCATCAACTTGAGCATCACTTCAGGGACGGGTTTGGGATCACGAGAACCGACTCGGGCACCGTTTCGGAGCCCCGGGCATCACTTGGGGGACCGTTTCAGGGCCCGGGGGGTGCCGGGGGCCTCACCCAGGTTGACGGTGAGCTTCATGCGCCCCCCGTCCAGCTCGAGGCGCAGGGTGTCGGCCGACTGGCGGGAGGTGGTGGCCAGGACCAGGCCGTAGGGAGGGGGGGACATGAAGCGCAGGGCCACGTCCTCCGCCTCCGTCTGCGCCGCCCCCGGCACCAGGACCTTCAGGTACATGCTGCCGTCGTAGCTCAGCACCGCCGCCTCTGCGGGGGGAACCCCGTCAACACGGACCCGACGGGGGAG